TGCTATTGGGGGTGGTGCTGCCCTGACTTACCACGTGACGCCTGTGTCTTCAAAGCTATTGTCTCAGAAAGAAGATGCATGTGGAGTGCTGGGGACAGCAGTGAAGCAAGGTGAGAGCTGCAGGACCCTGGTGATGCTATGAGCCCCAAGGAATGGAGACGCGAGCCCCCTTTGTCTCGGACAATCGCTGTAAACAGCGCCTCTACGAGATGCGAACCCTGCAGTTCTACCGGGGTTTTCCTGACTCTGCAACTCAGCAGCACAGTGGAGCTCCCTTTGCCAGGCACCGTGTAATATGCAGTGATACAAAACACAGGCAAATATTGTCTGGCTTTGAAAGTAAGTTTAGAGCCAGGCAGGAAAAGTTTGCGCTATGAATCCTTGGACACCTTCCCCAATGCATTTTCTGCCTGATTGTCAAACAGTTGGTAACGTTTTCAGTTAGTGTGAAGTGCAGACCTTCCTTGGGGCGTGTCCCCCACTTCCCCAAGTCCCAGGCCGACCCAGAGGCCTCCTGATTTCAGTTTTGTGACAAGTGTCTGGTAGTAAGAGCCTCAGTGACGGAGGGAGGCAGGAGATGAAGTGAATTCTCAGAATGTTCCCCAGCCTTTAAGCGCTTAAGTAACCTCTTTAATTTCTTTTTTTACCACAAACATTGAAGCAGAAAGAACAGAATGAAGGACTCTCAAAGCTGAAATTTACCTCCAGCACCATTCAGTTCAGTCTCTTCCTATGGCAGACAAGGGCTGGAGGCTGTGAGTGGAAATGGCCTGGGCAACCTAGTTAGTGGCTGAACCACTAGGACTGCCGGCTCCTAAGGGAGGCTTGTCAGAGTTCAGGTTGCCATATTGCTAAGAGATGGGGAACCCGCACACGCCCCAACCCAGCCCATAAACAGAAAATCTGCAAATGCAGTTTGCAGGGTCTAAAGTGCACACACAGACACACACGTGCACACAAAGGTGGGATAAGGGGTGGGAATAGATCCCTTAACTGCCCTACTTCCAGACACCAGTCCCTGCAATTAAGAAAAGGTTGGTCACAAAGGCTGGAGCAGCCCTTTTACCACAGGGTCATCCTGCAGGGGTGAACTTAGGACTCCTCCACTGGACGTTAATAGCGGATTAATCCAGGAAGCTTATTTAATTTGTGACCAGTGGAGCTGGTTCACAGAGAGAGGGCTGTGTTGGCAGGTGCAGAGCCCAGCTCCCCAGATGGAATAATCTTTTCCTTATTAATTTGCTGCATGTTGCTTGTCATTTCTCACATTCGTTCCAAATGTGTTACAAACGACTACATGCTCTGCGTCCTGGGCCCACTAGTGCTGTAGCTTTGAAAGAATATAAAACGTTGACTATAAACTGCGGTGAGCTTTCCTGGCGCGCACATCGACACGCTCGCCTTTAAATCATCAGTGTGCTCTCCCGACCCCAAATACGGCTCCACCAGGGAGCACCCATTGTTTACGGCTGTGGTGTTTTAGGGAACGGAAATCCAGTGGTTTGAACGTGTCCAGGGCTGTGGAAAGAGACAGTGGCATGGCTAGAATTGGAACTCACAATTCCGATTTCCTGGGCTGCCCTACCTTGCTGTTTTCTAGAGAGTACACGGCAGGCTGATTGCTCCTGTTAGTCCAGCGATTCTCAAACTGGAGTGGGCATCTGGGTCCACCTGGAGGGCTTGTTTAAAGACACAGGCTGCTGGGCCCCCAACCACAGAGCTTCTGATTTATTCAGCAAGCGTAGGGTATGACCTGAGAATGTGTGTTTCTAACAACTACCTGGAGATACTGTGAGGACCACTGCAGGAATTCAAGTGGACTTGCTTCCACCAAGCAAACATAGCTTCGTTATCTTTTAGAGGGTTCTGTTGTTCAGATCATTTCTGTTTTGTGTCTTTTTCCTCAGTACCCCCTATACATTAAATCTCAGTTTAGAAACTATTTTTTCAATATTAGAGCTCAACAGAGAATGTATCTTGACTAAATAAGCTTGAATGTGTATTACAGTACTTGATAATGGATTTTTCCAAAATGTGACCACTTTAAGCTAAACAAAAATATTTCCCCAGGGTTCAGCCCTTCTACACAGCTCCTGGTTTCTAAGGAGCCATTTGAGAATACAGCAGCCAAGTGCAATGCGCTGTACAGCATCCTTAGGAGGACCTCCCAACGTAGAACACACTCCATCTCAGTCTCTTAACCAACATTCTTTCTGGTCATTTATGGGCTTAAGACATGTCCTGTCCCTAACCACAGAGTCCTATGAGGGATATTTTGGAACAGAATTTATTTTTTCAAAGAAAAGTACTTTGGCTTTGCCAGACATAAAAAAAAATTAGCAACCAACACTTAAATAGATAATGAATGCCAAGGCCTGTGTAGTGCATGTGTGTGTCGGGAGGGGGGATTTAATTAACTGGAAGACCAGTTTTTACAGTTCCACGCTTCTGACAGTACCAAGCCTGCAGGACTGTTCATTCGGACAAGCAAATGCCAGGCTGGGGAGCTCCTGATCCAGTGTTTTGTACCCAGTAAAGAATTAGAGGGGCGGAAGCACATGCCTGCGGAAACCCTGCAGTGCAACGCAAATGGGATTTCTTAAAATGAGGAACATGTGTAAAGTCACAGTATTTTTCTGTTACTATTTTAAAATATTCTTCAGGCAATTTGCTGCATCTATTCACATATTAAAAAGCAAGGAGGTCGCCTTTTTTTCCCCCTACAACCTATTCAAATGGAGGCTAGAGTTGAGGAAGTGGATGGAGATACTCAAAAGACTTGGGGTGTGTGCGCAGATGGCTGACTTAGTAGGTGGAATGTACGTACACACTGTTTGGTTTAGAGCAGCTGCACCTACTCTAGTCACTGAGTTTGGCTTTTAGGTGCGGAGTCACACAAACAACCGCCAGTTAGCGGCATGCAGAGAACTCTCCCTCCTCCCAAACTAACCAACCAACAGACCCACTAGCCTTTAAAACAAGTTAAAACACCACACGACTTTAAAAGAAATGGCTGAGATTCCCTCACTAATCTTGTCGTTCAATATTTTGAGGTTGGATCAAGTCCACAGATGAGACTTTCTAGGCTAAATACTTGATCTACATTTACGTAGATATATTTTCTTATCCCAATTATCATCATTCTTCATTAACAATGGCTTGCCAAATGCAGCCATTTCTACTTTAACTGACTTAAAGAATAGCTCTGATGTGAGAATATGAAGACATAAACGTTTTACTTTACGCAAAACCGCCCAACCCCACCCTAGGGCTGAGTGAACTGAGGCCAGGTCTGAGGCCTTTGGTTGCAGTTCATAAGGTCTTTAACATTTTATCCAGACTCTAGTAGCCACCTAAATGAATAAGGAATAACTTAATACTGATCCATTCTAAGATTTAGTTCCTGCCCTCACTTGGAACTGTGATAGCATTCATAGAATTAGTACAGCTAATTAGAAGACAGCCCCATAGACACTGCTAACAACTACAGAGGCTGATCAGAATGGTGGAAAACAATAGGTCGAAGCAATGGTCTTGGTTATTTTCTGGTATCTTGATTAGACAGGTTTCACTGACTGTGCTGACAAAGAGAGTACAAGTCAACTATTCCCATTAACTTCAACTTGGTTCATTTAGCAGATGCCTCCGTCTTTTGTTTCTTTGGTCTCATCTTCTAATAAAAACGTCACTACGTTTACCAAATTCCTTTGACTTCAAGGAATTGGAATGTCACATTTTATTCTCATTCCTTTTTATTCAACCCTTTAAACAAACTTTCAGTCTTCCTTGACTATGAAAATTATTTAAGTCTTAAGTTTTACCAAAGTTCTAATTTCATGGCTGGGTTTATGCTTTGACTGCCAGTCAAGGATTTCACTTAGAATTTAGAGTGCTTGGCAAACTCACTGGATAGATTAGGATTGAGTAACTCCTCTCATTCAATCTGTTCTTCCACATACACAACACAAGTCAAGTTTGTTATGACTTTCTTGATCCTTACTTATAAGACAATACAAGAGGGAACCATGTGTGTATGTTTGAAATCGAAATGATACATTGCACAGATATAGTTCACCACGTTCTGGGATGAGTTGGCTGTTCCAATGCAGAGTCGGAAGAGTAGGAACAGATGCTTTTTTTCTTCCTTAATGGCTCTTTCTCTCATTTAAAATCCTTCCATTTATTTTCCTAAGATTTAGCGATAACTTTAAACACTTTAACTAAATTACCCAGCGGCTTGGCAGCTATCACAGAGGCAAATCTTTTTAGAAACCCTAGCAATCTGTTAGGATCACGGGTACCGTGACACAAAATCTGTGTGGGTCCAAGTACAAAAATTAAATCAGTGCAGTGGATACAAATGCATAATGCAAATGGCACTGTCTCCAAACCGAGGGTGCACGACCTGCCTCTAAATATTGGATTTCCATATTTTTTTTCAGTCATTGACTTTCTAAATTTGGGCCAATTTATTCTCATTATCTCTCAGTAAACCTACTTTGATTTCTTTAACAGTTATTTTATAATCAAATATAGCCAGCCAGCCCGGGAGCCCAATGTTGCTAGGATACATAGTTTGGTACTTGATGAAAGTATATCACTTCAAAGGGGGAGATTTTCAAGTGTCCTAGAAAATGACACTCCCGTCTTCCGCTGTGTGAAAGACAGCAGAAGACAGGCCCAATCCCAGAGCTTCTTGGAAGCTCAGACTGCAGGATTGGCCTCCCATGCTTTGAACTAAGCATCCTCTCTGGCGGTTGGTGCAATTGCTAAAACTAGACAGATTTGTCTTAAAGCAAGGAACACACGTATTTATAATGAAACACACTTTCATGTTTGTTTTACAGTGAAGAGAAAAAAACCCGGAACCCCCAGATTTTATGTACTTTGAAAATATATTTAAAAACATTAAAAATTCTATATTTAAAACATATATTATATGTTAATTAGTACACTTAAATAGAACTTGTATTTACAATAGGCTTCTGATGCGATTAAGTTTTAATGCCAATTTTTTTCAATAACATAATTATATAAATATACTAAAATACAATAAATATTTTTTTTGTTTTACATGGTGAATAATATCTTTACCATAGAGAGAACAAGGCCACAGACATTTACTTACATTTTCAATGGGAATCACCATAAAAAAGCAACAGGCCCGCTGCCATGCATGAAACATTTCTGCCACAAAGAGACCACAGCAAGACTTTAAAACAAAATAGAACAAAACAGAACAAAAATGAACAGCAACAGAGAGAGGTTTTAACAAAATAAATTTTAGGTCAACGTAAACCACCAAGCGTGTGATTGTGATGTATCCTATTGGGTAAGGGAGAGAGAGCCACTGACCACACAATTGCTGAATATCTCCTACGTAACCGCTTCACAGATCTGGCCTTTGCAGCACTTTGAGATGGTGATGGGGACTTTTTTTCCCTAAATAATTTTATCCCTCAAAACAGAGCTGCAAAAAGATAACATACAGCAGATATTCCCAATGTTCATTACATGTTAAAAAATAATTACAAAGACGGTATTTTCAAATAGTACAAAACAGACCCATGCTACATAAATTCTTCCTTCTTTTAATGGTAGATGTTCAGGTGGTAATTCGAAAGACAGGCTCATTCTAAATTAAAGACTGAACAAAGAGAAATGATTTGCTGATGGTATCTTCATTCCCTGGGTCATGGTGGAAATCCTCTTTTGCTTATTCCTTGCCCTACTAAGATACAGCAGTTTCTTGAGACTTTTTGATACCCATGGACACCGGTCCAGGACACTTTCAGACTTGGACAGTGGGCTGAATGGGTGAGTAAGCTTAGCCCTAATTTTCATCAGGGTCCATTTCTCTCAGGACCATCATTCCAGGCTCCCAACTTGACTTCTCCAAACCCAAGACAGCAGAGGTGAGGCAGGGACTTTCTCCATGAACAGGCAGGATGGGCAAGAAGTTGCTGTGGCCCTCACCGGGGGGCAAAACTTTGCCTGCTTTGTCCTGGCCTCTTCCAGTCTTTGGTGTCCTAGATGTCCAGACACCTTCCCAAAGTCTTGTCTCTGGACAAGATTACCTATTGGTAGCCTTGATCATTCAACCTGAGTTTTAGGGTCTTTTCCTGTTCCCTTCCCCCACACAGAAAGTTCTCAAAAGACAAAACCCTGGTTTCCTCAAGTCTAATTTCAAAGCAGTGAGTGTTCAGGTAGCAAACATCTTCTATCTCATTGCAGCAATCTCCATAATCACAATGCCACACTTGGTTCTGAACCTGCTCCAGGCTAATCCAGCTTTTACGCAATTATCCAGGGGTGGAGGGCGTTAAGTCAGCTTGAGCAGGGTCCTCCAGTGAGAACCTCTTAGCACAGTTAGATAATATAGGCACTTAAAGCGTGAGGTCCAAAGCAACTTGACACGCGTCATTCCAGAGCCACTTCTGTCTGAAGGGTCCTTCAGGGGCCTACCTTTTGGAATGTCTCAAGTACAATTCCCCACCCCCACCTAGACCTCAGGAGGGCCCCTCAGAAATTCCTCCTGCACCACCCAAAAATGGTGTCCGATCCACACAGCCTCCACATGGCTGGTCAGTCTCATTTCACTGGCAGTGTGGACTCCCATTCTGATCCAGGCTTTCCTGAGTCCACATGGAACTCCATCTTTTGCTCCCGAGACATTTTTAAGCCTTCCTATGATTTACCCAAATTATTTACCTCTTATCAAAAAAATTCTTTATTTTTATTTCTGGGTTGTTCTTTTTCTCATTGAAAAAAAAAATCACCATGCTTATGAGTGCCACGATGTGAAAAAATCTGTTACTCATTCATAGCAATGGTAATGTATTTCAGAGCACGGAGCTGATTTTTCTTCCTCAAGAGAAAAGGAAACAAAGAGTCGACCGAAGGGGGAGGGGGAGAAAGAATGTGCTCTAAGTAAACCTAGAGCTTTGCAACAAAAGCAGCTTTCCCTGGCCAAGGCCCAAGGGCTGGTGAGAGCCTGGGGGTGCTGAGTGGGGACCTGGAGTAACCACTTCTTCATTCAGTTGCCTTCATCTTTATTCACTTTCCAGTCATCTGATTGATATTGCAAACATCTTTACAACATACAAATGAATCTTTTATCAACCAGAATATATACTGAAGGAATTCTTTCCCCATCCCTACTCCCCATGGGAACTAAAAAAAAAAAGAAAGAAAAACAAACAAACAAACAAAACCGAAACAAAAAAACTAACAAACAAAAAACCCCACAAAACAAACAAAAATACTCCCCTCCCATCATCCCCCATCCCCTAAGCCAGTAAAGCGATGACAACAGCACCTTGACATTGTTTTAATTCCGACGCTATCAGAAGTTCAAAAGCAGTAAAACAGATGTAGTACTAACAAGAACGAAGATACTTACTGTCTCAAATGTAAACAGAATGTTTTGGTTCAAATTTTTGTTGTTGGGGTTTTTTTGTCTGTTTTCTGAAAGAGGACAGTTTATTATCAATTCACAATTAAAGCAGCATGCAATTTATTATTTTTTTAACTTTTTTTTTTTTTTACGTTTTCAATCTTGGCAACGGCAACAAATCACAACATTATCGAGGAATGTAATGCAGACTTTTTTTAAAGTTGTGCGCAAAATGACTGTTTCCCTTCTGGTCATGGGTGTGTCCAATAAATAGATTGGAGAACCACGGTACTGTATAAACTTCATTTATACATGCAGTTCATAAAATTAATTTTTTCTTAACTGAATAATTTACCCTGTTATGTATATATACAAATAGATAATTTTTGTCTCAATAGAATCTATACAACATAAATCCACTATCTTCCCCTTTTAATGGTCAATGTACACACACAGGAAGTGTCTATCCTTATGAACCGCCAGCCAATTCTCTTTTTGCTATCCATGGTCAGGGCCCGCACGTACGACTGGGTAGTTCGGCACTGGGAGTTCCAATGCCTCTTGTCTATGCCCCGGCAGCCCTCCTTTGTGTAACCCATGGGATTGCACTTGGTCTCGTAGAAGTACTGCTTCAGTTGGCCTTTCGACACAGGGACTTTTTCAAGGACGGTGACCGTCCCGCCTGACATGTCCACTGCAGTCTTTTTGTCTGCCGCTGTGACCCACTCGCTAATGCTGTCACACACGCTCAGCTCCCCGCGCCGGGCCGGGTCGGAGTGGCGCCGGACCCTCATCGACATGTTTGCAGCATCCAGATAATTTTTGTATTCCTCAAGCAGAAAGAGAAGAGGTGGCTCCAAAGGCACTTGACTACTGAGCATCACCCTGGAAGTGTACAAGTCCGCGTCCTTATTGTTTTCTTCATGGGGCCGGACTTTCTGGTCCTCATCCAGCAGCTCTTCTATCACATGTTCAAAAGTGTCAGCCAATGACGTCAGGCCTCTTGAACCTGCCTTGGGCCCATTCACGCTCTCCAGAGTCCCATGGGTTCGAACACCTGGGTACGCCAAGCTGCCTTGTCCGCGCACGTTTGCTTCTTTCATGGGGGCAGCCTTCATGCAACTGAAGTATGAAATAACCATAGTAAGGAAAAGGATGGTCATCACTCTTCTCACCTGGTGGAACTGCGGGGAGAAAGCAGAAACAGGACATAGAACTGGTTAGGGCTTTCTTTTGCCACCCATTTGATTGCAATTCCAGGCCATTCTGCAGGGTAAAGGTTTTTTATGCGTCCGTGATAAACTCCAGCTGCACCAGACACAAGTTAATGTCAGTAGTGTGCTGTACGTGGTTTAATATAAACCAGAGGCGTGCAGAGTTTTCTCTGAGACTTAGCACATATACCCGACATTAGACGGCGGCTAAGTGAGTAGAAAATACTGTGGCTTTTAGTTTCCCCCCTTCCTCGCACTTTAGCAGATTTATAAGTTAAATTTTTAATGATCTCTGCTCAGGCTGTCACAAGAAACACAAAATCAGAAATGTTACTAAGCAACAACTGCGAGTGTAATCGTAACTTCCTCTTTTTCAAGTCAGCTGGGCTGTCCTATCTATTGCCGGCGTGCGTGGCTGGGAGGGTCTGAGCTCGCCTCTGGAGTTCTGTGCCTCTTGGGCATGGATAAAACTGAAGTCAGGGAGCTATAAGGAGTCTTTTCATTGACTTTTTTTCCCCTCTCATAATCCATCAGAGGACTGGCCTTGTGTCATGAATAAGGTTTACATTAGATTTCGGGGTTCTCCCAACCCCAACTCCAGTATTTTCCTACTACACCTGGGTGGTCATAACTGAACATGTTTGGCTTATTTCCAAACAGAAATCATCTTCTATACCTTGATTTTAATGATGTGTCTATGCCTGGGGCTGATATCATGAAAACAACGTGGCTGCTTAAGGGAGAACTGGAGAAGTCAGTGTTCACAAGGCACTGAAGTCCATTTCAAATGCCTCCCATATGGGCACCCACACTTATCTCCATTACTCTGAGCCCCTTGCACCTTGGCTTTTCTGGCTCATACAGAGAACCCATCGGAGAAAGCACAGCTTTTCTTTTTATTGGAAATGGGGTCCTCTGTGTGTGTGTGTGTGTGTGTGTGTGTGTGTGTGTGTGTGTGTGTACCCTGAGTTTATCATACCTTTAAAAAGCTGAGTAGCATTTTGCACATTTGGGAATAGACAGCCAGTGCTTCTTTCTGTACTTTTGAAGTTTCCTGGGAAGTCCCTTAATAGCACACCACAAAATTAATCTTCTCCTGTTTGCCAGAGGGTTGCTTTACTCTAAATTTGGCTCAACATCCACAAGCATGCTCTGGGAAGCCAATTAGAATGGATGAACAAGCAAAATGAAAACATACCTACAGGCCAACCCAAGGTTACCATCAGATGATGAAGGACTTCAGAATCACTTACCTGAAGCATCGTGTCCCTCAGTAGTAAGGGAAGCACCCCTCCAGCCCCAGTATTCTAACTTTATTCTTACTCCAAAAAGGAAGTGTGGACTTAAGAAAAGAGGCACATGTGCCAATCACTAGGGAATGGGACTGTTTTTCTGTCCATTTGCAACCTGCCCCCAGTCAATATATCACACTGTGGAAATGGCTGAGAGTCCTGGTCTTGAGAATGTTTCTGCTCTCCATTTTTACAAGAGATGACATTTTCTGCCCCTAGCAGACTTTATCATTATCCCCAAACATTATCACCAGTACATTTCCTTGTAGATGCACTCTTACTTTGCACGAAGAGCAAGCACACTCACAACTGCTTGGAGTGCACAATGGTATGAGATTAGGAAGGGTGCACCAGGCTGAATAAAACATGGATATCCATTCTGCAAGTATCTGGACTCATGAATGTTCTGGATTCTGCGCTATCAAAGAAATGGATTCTCCAAGGAGGTTTCTATTCCTGGCAGGCGGTACTTATACCACTGAATGAAAATCTTTTCTCCTAATGTTTCCAGTCCAAATTAAAATAACCCAAGGGACACCTCTAATGTAGGTCGATGAAAGAATGCAAATTTAGAATATTTCACTTGAGCCATCTCTAGCACACTGGTAGAGATTTGCTGTGATCAGCTATCTTTTAATATATATGTCATTAAATCTTAGATACCGTCATTATAAAACATAGTGTTTTATGTATCACTAAGGAATTAACATAAAGCAGCCAGTTAAACTGTTGTACAATTTATCAGAACTGTTATTGGTTTTTTTAAAAGATTCTATTTATTTATTTTTAGAGAGAAGGTGAGAGAAAGAGGGAGAGAAACATCAATGTGTGGTTGCCTCTAGCATGTTCCCCCATTGGGGTTGATTTTCTGCAACCCAGGCATGTGCCCTGATTGGGAATTGAACTAGCAACCCTTTGGTTCACAGGCCGGTGCTCAATCCACTGAGCCATCTCAGCCAGGGAAGAACCGTTATTATATACTTATTGAAAAGAGTTATTGTACACTTGTTTGGATATACTTATCATCTGTAACTTTTGTGCATATGTAATAAATAAAATTAAGCAAAATAACTGGTGAAGGCAATGACAACTGTGACTGCTACATAGTCAACAAGAGCAGTAAAGTGACATCAGCTGCTAAGGTACAACTCCAATTCAGAGTTGTGTACTAAAGAAAAAGAAAACGTGTGCCTCATAATTAATGAAGCAGAACAAATTAAATAAGTCTTCACTAAGTGCCTACACTAACTGCTTAAAAGGTCCATGGTATGGGGGCACCATAAACTACAGGACTAGAAAATTGTTTTGTGGGCAAAAACTAAAATCTTTTCCACTAAGATCAGGAACAAGACAAGTTTGCCCACTTTCACCACTTCTATTCAATATATAGTATTGGAAGTTTTAGCCAGAGTGATCAGACAAGAAAAGGAAATAAAAGGCATCCAAATTGGAAATGAGGAAACAAAACTGTCAGTGTTTGCAGATGACATGATAGTGTACATGGAAAATCCTATAGACTCTAACCAAAAACTGCTCAACCTAATAAATGAATTTGGAAAATTGTTTTGTTATCACTAACACAGTAATGTGTCTTTTTTTTCCATTTTAATTTTTTAAATAAGTTTTTTCATGCTAATTTTTTAAACCCTATATTTAAAGAAGTTTATCCTTCCTTTCACTGGTCTCATTTATCTTAATATTAATAACTTCATTAAAAATAGTTCATACTTTATATATTATTTCCTCATCAGTTCCACAAGCAAATATTTCAGAGGGACAAATGGCATCTGAGTAAATACTACTTAGCTTGCATCCTGAAGCCTACCACAGGCATGTTCCTCAAAGCAGAACATCTACACAGATTCAGTAATTACCCACCTGGTGAAAAGCTCATGCCCATCCCTGGCCCCCTCTGAATGATACTTCTTCAATGCTAACTGCCTACTCATTTATACGGCTTTGAAGTCAAATACATCTATTACCAAACCCATACTTCTTGTCAGAACAATGTTACTTCCTAACTTTTCTGTTTCTGATGATGATTTCTTGATACTTTGGGCCACCCAAGCCACAGACTAGAAGTCTAGAAATCAAGTTTGACAATACATTTCTTGTATAGCTTTCAAATCCAGTCAGAGGAGAGGTCTTGCTCATTGTCCCTTTAAAACATTTCTCCTGGTCCATCCGTTGCTCTCTATCCCATGGCTGTTTTCTTGGCTCTGTCCTCACCATCTCATTGTGTTGACTGTCATGTCCTTCTGATGGATTTGACATCTTTTCTGTTCTATTTGGCTCTAACAACCACTGCCTGACTAACTGTTAGGCAGGATAGATAGCAAACCAAGGCAGGGAGGGGAAGGGAGAGGTGTCTCATCCATTAATTCAACAGTCCTGAGCCCAGTCAGATAAGATTGCCAGGTGTTCCAAAGATCACAAGAGAGACCATGATAAAAGTGCGGGAGGAGGGGAGCCTTCGAAAATTCTGTGTATCATTTTCACTATCTGGGAAAGGCAGGCTTTGAAACTGTGTGTTAATCCCAAGATCAGGAGAAGGGAGGAGAAGGGGGAGCCTGGAGGCTGGCTGCAAGCATATAATCCCTAAAACCCCAATGGATTAGGCACTCAGATTAGCTGGGTACACCCGCTTGCAGCTTTGTGCTCAAGTGGATTTTATATATAAACTTGCTACCTCACTTCTACTGTACGCTTTTGCCACTTACCTGAATTCATCTCTTACAAGTGAGACAAGAACCGAGGAGGTGGAGCTCTCTAATTTAGGTCTCACCAGTAACACAACCACTGTTCTCTTATCATTCTCTTACAGAAAAATTTACAATAGTTTTTCTTTTTTCTCTACCAGATCAAATCTAATCTTTTTTTATCTGGTGTTCAGAATTTGGCCTCACACTACTTACCTAACTCTGTATATGAGGTCTGTCCAGAAAAAGTCTAATATAGCAAGAGTGGTTTGCACAACATCAGTGTAACCTGGCAGCCAAGAGGAGTGGACTGCATTGTGCCAGTTGAACAATGACGCCTTCACTGTACTAGTCATTGGGGGCAAGTAGATGTTGTTGAGTTAGCATGTGTAGTGCGTGGCCATAACATTCAAAATGAATCGAGTGAGTAGAGCAACAAATCTGCATCAAATTTTGCATAAGCTTGAACATCCCTCTGCAGAAACTATTCAGATGATTGACTGAGAAGGCTGCAGCTGTGGGCAAATGGTGATGGGCAGCTTCATCACAATGCGCCTGCTCATGCATCAGGCCCCGTGCAGAAGTTTTTGGTGAAACATGAATCACCCAGATGACTCAGCCCCACTAAAGCCCAGATTTGGTGCCCTGCAACTTCTGGCTTTTCCCAAAACTAAAATTACCTTTGAAAGGGACGAGATTTCATATCTTTAATGAAATGGAGTGCAATACAACAGGACAGCTGATGGCAATTGGGAGAACTGTGGGAAGTCCCAAGGTGTCTACTTTGAAGGGGACTGAAGTGTCATTGTCCTCTCTACAATGTTTTTTCTATTTTGTATGTTCAATAAATGTCTCTGTCTTTCATTTTACATGGCTGGATACCTTCTGGACAGACCTTGTATTCCTCAATGCTTCATCTCCAGCTCTGATCAGGCTAAAATCCTTGGAGCTCCATATCCATTATCACCTGCAAGTGAGA